TTTTGCTTGGGAGGCCTTGGATACATGAGAATAAAGTAGTTCCATCTACCTACCATCAATATTTAAAATACTACGAGGGTAAAGTCGAGAAGATGGTAGTTGCTGATGATGAGCCATTCACCGAGGCTGAGTCACACTTTGCCGATGCAAAGTTCTACTTGAAGAACCGCATTGTGAAGGAGCTGAAAGTTGATGATGGTACGAAAAGCAAGAATGACGGACCCATAACTAAAAGAGCTGATGTGACTATTGGTAAAGCCAAAACTGTTACTAAGGAGGTACCCGCCAACGTGAATAAATCTCATAAAGGGGGTATTGCATCTTATGGAGAGAAAGTAAGTCATGCGCTCCAATATGTCCCTAAAAGGAAGAACGACGAGGGCGGATCACATAATCTCCAAACCAAGACGCTAAGGGAGTTAACCCTTCCGGTAAAACGAATTGAGGCAGTAAAGTTGTTCTCAAAGTCGCTTGCAGGGTTTGTAGCCCAAAATTGTTTGCAGAATGTGGCACTCCCTACAAAGCGAACAGATGAAGGTTTTGATCCTAACGCTTACAAGCTATTTGCAAAAGCTGGATACAATCCCAATAAGCCGTCAAAGTTAGGGAAGCTCCCATCAGAAGATGCAATGAGGCAACCACGTGAAGGTCTGGGATACAAGCAACCGTCACCAGTGCGCATCTCAATAAGAAGGGCGAGTAGCAATTATATTAGTGTAGAAGATGAATTTGCCGCTTCTAACAGACCTTCTGTCTTTGATCGGCTTGGAAAATCAACTGTGAGAACTTCTGTATTTGAGAGATTGGGTCCACTAAAGAAGGGGAATAAGTTCCAGAGAAATCATCGAAATACAAGAACACCCGTTTCACCCAAAATTCAGGAGATCTCTAAAGATTTCCAAAGATTGGTTCCTTCCAGAATGAGGCGACAAACAAAACTAGTGGTTTTATGTGAAGAAGTACTGAAGGTAAAGCCATACACTGTGGTCTACACTAAGGAACATGACGAAGATGAAGAAAGTGTAGGTTCTTCGTATCATTTCACTATACAATGCGAGAATGGTGTTTCGTCTTCGATGGGAGATAATGCGGATTTGGAGGATGTTTTGCCGTGTTATCACATATCCTTCAATGATGGGGACCCTCAAGAAGATGAAGATGCGAAAGATGCTCCACCTGAACTTGAAGAAGGAGTGAAGACGATAGTTGATGCCTTAAAAGAAGTTAACCTTGGCACCGATGAGGAACCAAGACCCACCTACCTAAGTACTTTACTAGAAGCTGATGAAGAGAGCACTTATATTGAGTTACTCAAAGAATTCAGGGATGTCTTTGCTTGGAGTTACAAAGAGATTCCTGGCTTGGACCCGAAAGTAGCAGTCCATCACCTTGCAGTCAAAAATGGTGCTCGCCCTATTAA